TCTGGCGATGAATGGCTCGCTTCACGTCCGCGATCTTCGAGTTGGGGCTGATGTTCGTGAGGCTCACCACCGGTTTGGCGTCCACTGCGGCGCCCGCTTTCATGATATCGATGTCCATGTCTTCGTCTGTTATGTCGTCGTCGGCGGCGATAGTGTTGGCGCTGATTGTCAACGGATCCCAAGAGGTGTTTATAACAGCGAGCGCTTTGGTGGTGAGGGAAGTGTTGACTGCAAGGGGTTTGCGATACAAACGATCACTGAATTGAAAGCAACGAAAAAATTTCCCCAAAACTAGTGATCAGTGTTTTCCTCGTTATAGCCAACGGTTTGTGTCAAACCATGCAATCAATCGTTGGTTTAGTTCTCAGTTTAATTGCTCAAAGTGTTTGTGTCGCGCGATGGGGCCATACGTACAGTACGTCACACACAACAGACACACCACCGCTAGGGTACGGGTGCTCTCAGTGCGCAAACACCGCAGTACTCGACAAACCGGCTATCAATACACGGATAAAGTGTTATTAATTGATGTCTGAATTAAACTCACAATTATTACTGACTTTTATTAATCAGTTACTAATTATGGGTGAACTACAGTATATTTGGTGTACTGAACAGGGGGTCTCGATATAAACGCCATAAACGGCACGTTATTTGCGTATAAACTGTCGTTTTCTCGCACTATAGCCGTGACGTCAACGGCGAAGCGTACGGTCGACTGCCAGAGAGACCTACAGTCGACTCGAGTTATAGCGTACACTCACACACCACTCGTACACTACACTCGCGTACACTAAACGTAACAAAACACTGACTCAACGCTTGACTAACGGAATAAATAGCGGCACTAATTGTATGCGCAATCGGGTGGTCACACACATACACTATACGCATATAGACGGGAGGGTTCACTATAAGGGGGTGTCGTTTGACTGCTGAAAGAGTGAGTCATACGTTGTGTGCGATTAGTGGCGACACAAGTGTTGTGACAGTAATTGATGTCAATATTGGGTTCACTTGTGTTGACATTTGATCCGCTCTGCGATCACCTCTAGTCAGTCGATCACAGCCCAAGACATTGACCACCGCGAAGGACAATGGCTCTCAAACTACTGGTCGGACAGAGTAAGTGATTATCTCGTTATACACGCACCCAGTGATGATCGGTGGCAACTGATCCGCCCAATCGATACCACAAACACCACTTAAACCCCCAATTGATCCCGTAATCTAACCGGTGGTCACTATTCCTCGTGAGCTCAGTGATAGCCATCAATGCCTACAAACCACCGATTGATACCACAAATTCATTGATCCCATTCCTCATGGGCTCTTAGCTGACCTACAACTGCCTGTAAACACAAACACCCACTGATACCCATAATCTAATCCATGGTAACCATTCCTCGTAAGCTTAGAGACCCTCTAACCACTTCTCTCGCACCACCATAAACTAATCAATTGATACCATTCCTCACGAGTGTCATAACTACCCGCCACTGCCTGTAAACACACAGTGATTGCTATAATCAATAATCTAATTCATGGCAACCATTCCTCGTGAGCACAGAGATCCTGAACGACGTGGTGCGGTCGTCGCACAAGAAGGGCGAGTGGAAGGTCTTAATCGTGGACCCGTTGGGGATGCGGATGATCTCCTCGTGCACTAAAATGCACGAAATCGCCAACGAAGGCATCACTATTGTCGAGGATATCGGCAAAAAGCGGGAACCGTTGCCTAATATGGAAGCCATTTATCTCA